CCTCCACATGCTTTGGATACGGGCACTGGGGCTTCTCTGCCCACAGACCCAGCCCATGGTCAGCACCAAGGCACACCCCCTGTGTGTGTGTGGAAATGGATTCAATCCATTCTAGCCTTGCGTGGGATTCTGCCCAGGTGTGAGTGTGAGGCTCACCTTTGGCGTGGGCCCTGCTGGGCACATCACAGTCAGATGCTAACACAGGGAGAGAGGATGCCATGGGGCAGGGCAGATCCAACTCCCCACCTCTTTGCATCCTGAACATCAGGACAGCCCAGGGAGGGACTCTCTGTGGAGAAGCAGGCGTGTGGGAGTGGAGCATCCACTAGGAATGGACGTGAAAGGGAAATCCCAGGGTGTGAGAGGAGGGAAGGCCTTGCCTCCCATGCACCCTCCCCTTCCTCCCTGCCTGCCCCTGTCTGCTTGTCCTTCCTTCCCTTCCCCTGCAGGATGGGGCACCATGGCTGTGCCCGCCCAGCTCTCCCTGACACAGTCATCAAGTGGGACCCCTTTATGTGGAAAATGCTACAGACAGGGTGGTGCGGCCCATCCCTGAGGGTACTGGCTGCTGATGCTGCTGCTTTTCTGAACATATCAGGCTCACAGACCTGACACTTGGAAAGGTTTGGGCTTTTGCCGACTCAGAAGGCAAAGGTGTCCTGAGCAAAGGGGACTTATTCATTGGTCTGTGCCTTGTGCTTGTACCCAGAATGCATTGCAGGTGTCTCTGAGGAGCTTAAACCTTGCTTTCCTGCAACACGATTTCAGGACACACAAAGTCCCTTGCTGGACAGTGAGAACTCTGCATCGGGGCTCCCGTGGGCTGTAAAATCTGAAGACAAGGCCAAACATGGCGCCATTTTTGATCATTTTAAGCCCGTACGTGGATTTCTGTCTGTGATAAAGGGAAACCAGCGTCACTCACCCCGAAGCTGCCTGTGGCTGCCCTTGGAAGCTTTTGGGAGCTGAGTGGTGTTGGCCCTGGTGCGATGCTCACGAAGATGAGTCTGCAGGTGCCATGTGCTTGGTAAAGGGCACATTGGAGGAAGCACCTGTGCCCATGTCCTGGCCTCCAGCCTTGTGCCACCTGCTAAGAGGAACAAGTGGGTTGGATGCCCTGCAGAAAAAGCTGAAGAGGATGGCATCTTCCTGGAAACTGATGAGGACATGGGTGAGTTTGTGTCTGGATTGGAAGTTTGTGAGATCTTCCTGGAGACAGGGTTAGCTTCTACCTGACTAGCCTACCTTTGGGTGCTGTGTCACCCTGTGGGAAGCTTTCAAATGGTATGTTTGTCTTGGCTTTTCACTCAGTCAATCAGAAATTAATAAAGTTCATTTATTCTTCTCATTTTTTACTGCTGAGATGCTTCCACCACCAGATAGGTCCCATTTACAAAAGAGCATCATAGGATCCAGTCTTGCTACAGATTTCTCTGCTATTAAGGAGCTAGATGCCCTTAATAATGACACTATTGACCTAAAGAGGGACAAGAATAATGTGCAAGAGGACCTTAAGGAGAAAGACGGTGCTCTATTTTTTAAAAATTCTCACCTGAGGACATGCTTAGAGAGAAGGTGGAGAGAGGAAGACAGAGAAACATGGATGTGAAAGAGAAGAATTGATCATTTGCCTTCTGCAGGTGCCCCAACCAGACTAAACCCTCAAGCCAGATGTGTGTCCTGACCTGGAGTTAAACCAACAACCTTTCAGTGCACAGGATAATGCTCCACCAACTGGGCCACTCCAGGTGGGTGAAAGATATACTCTTCAACAGAGAACAGTGAGGTTGAGGATCTTCAGGATGAACTTCAAAGGCAAATGCTAATCTGCAAAGACTTCAGGCCCAGAAACAGCAAGGACAGGGTCTCCTTAATGGTCTGGATGAGTAGGAAGCCCAGCTGCAGGAGCAACTCAGGAAAGTCAGCCTAATACACTGAGGAGGCCCAGCTGCTCACATCCCTGGAAGCTGAAGGAACTAGCCAAGAGTCGCTGATCTCCACTTCTGAGGAAGAGCTGGCCACGCTATAGGAAAGAGTGGAGTGGCCTTAGCAGGAACAGCAGGATTGGGGGAGAGTGTGGAGTCAGGGAAGGGTCATCTGGGACCTCTTCAGGGTCAACTGCAGGGTTCACAGCAGGAAATCAGTTCAATGCAAATGAAATCAGATGAAAATGATAGAGCTGGAAGCCCCTTGTAATCAATAAAATTGGTGCAGTCACTGATCCTCAGAGAGATGCAAATTCAAATGACAATGAGGTATCATCTTACCTGTCAGAAGGGAAGCATCAACCTATCAACAATGGAAAAGTGATGGTAAGGATGTGAAGAAGAGGGACTCCTAGTACATGGCTGCTTTGAATGCAGACTGGTGCAGCCACTGTGGAAAACAGTACGGAGTTTCCTCAAAAAATTAAAAGTGTAACTTCCATTTGACCCAGTGATGCCACTTCTAGGAATACATCCTAAGGAACCCTAAACACTAATCCAAAAGCACATATATACCCGTTTGTTCATAGCAGCATAATTTCCTAAGATCTGGAAACAGCCCAACTGCCCTTTAGTATATGAATTGATAAAAAATAGCTGTGGTACATTGACACCATGGAATACTATGCAGCTGTAAAAGAGAAGGATCTCTTGCCCTTTGAGACAGCATGGAGGGACCTGGAGTGTATTGAGACAGCATGGAGGGACTTCGAGGCAAACAAGCCAGTGAGAGAAAGATAAGTATCACATGATCTCACTCATATACAGAACCTAATGAACAAAATAAACTGATGAATAAAAGAGATTCAGAAACATAGGCACATAAAACAGAATGACGAATCTCAGAGGAAAAGCTGGGTGAGTGGATGAGTGGGGAGAGATTAACCGGGGAAGTTATAAGCATATGTGCACAGCCCATGGACACAGACAATAGTGTGGTAAAGGCCTGGGAAGGGCAGTTGTGGGGTGGAAGTGGTCAGTGGGGAAAAAATGGGGACAACTCTATTACTTTCAACAATAAAGATACAGTTTTTAAAAAAAGAAATTGGTGCAGCAGCCCACACAGCATCCTTTTAAATGTCGCTAGACTCCAGAGATGGTGCTAGCAGCTAGAGATTATTGCAGCCTCAGCACAGGCAGCAGAGCAACAGCCAACTGAATGCGTACAGAAGGCCTGAGCCTGGAGTCTGAGCAAGAACTGCTTCTGACATGCTGCCTCCTGGGAATGGAGTGGGGACTGATGGGAATGGAGTAATGGCTGATGGGAATGGAGTGGGGACTGATGGGAATGTAGTGATGGCTGATGGGAATGGAGTGGGGACTGATGGGAATGGAGTGATGGCTGATGGGAATGGAGTGGGGACTGATGGGAATGGAGTGATGGCTGATGGGAATGGAGTGGGGACTGATGGGAATGGAGTGATGGCTGATGGGAATGGAGTGGGGACTGATGGGAATGGTGTGATGGCTGATGGGAATGGTGTGATGGCTGATGGGAATGGAGTGGGGACTGCAGCTGCCAATAAAATATTTGTTTTGGATGTAACAGTGATAGACACTCAAATGAGGAAGATCCATCAACTGTAGAATCAAGGTCACTGGCAGATCCAGGTGCAGATACAGACTTGGATTTGTTTCCAGTTTGGTATTTTTGTTGGCAGGGATCCTTTCTAGGATGACTATTTTTGGGAAATTGGTCTATTTGGAGGTGATCCTTCAAGGGTTCAGATCCATGTACATGGGACAGCTTTCTCAAGCGATCTTCTGATGCTGTGGCCACGTCTGTTGTTCAGCTTTTCAGTGAAGCCGGCATTAGCAATGACCTTTTGGTAGAAGCACTGAAGCACAGTAATCCTATCGCTCCAGGTGGAACAGTTGTAGTTACAGCTAGTGACT